AGCTCGTTTCCACTTTCGCTTCTGTGGTAATCGTGTTTTTTGCTGGGACGTGTTGTGTGTTTTGAACTTGACAGCTAATGTATCAAGCCGTTCAGAAGACGCATTACGATCATTTAATTTTTTAGCAACGGTGGCGCTCAACTTCTGCACCTTCTGAACCTACCCATTTATAATTTATGAAAAAATTTAAATGAACATTTCAAACTTTTAAATGTTGTTTGAGTTTTCTGGGTATGCACTTTTATAGCCCGTTTCAAATTTCATTAATTTTGTATAAAAATATAACAATGTAAAATTTCAAACGTAAAAAAAAACATTTTAGAATTTTCTTGAGTATGCCGATTTATGCACGTTTAAGTTCAAGTATACCAAAGTGAAAATTTGAATTTACTCATGCGTTATATGGAAGAAAATGCGTAACACTCTCGTTATAAAAATCAAATCAGAAATAAATGGTACGTTTTAGCTCCTTCACTTTCCTAAAATTCAAATGGCTGTAAAACTGCATACTTAAAAAAATTCTAAATTATTTAAGTTTGAAATTTTGATAATTTTTTTTTTTATTATCATAAAGTTTTGTATAAAGCTTTAAAATCGAATTTAAATAAATAGTTTTTGTTAGAGAATATGCTATATTTTTGTAAAAAATTTAGTATTTATTAAATAAACAAAAGGAAAACTGTCAATACCGAGCAGCAAAAGAGGGCGCTATTCAAGTGGCTGCCCCTGCAAATNAAATAGTTTTTGTTAGAGAATATGCTATATTTTTGTAAAAAATTTAGTATTTATTAAATAAACAAAAGGAAAACTGTCAATACCGAGCAGCAAAAGAGGGCGCTATTCAAGTGGCTGCCCCTGCAAATACAATAGGGGAGCTCACGTTGAGTAGCATTTTAGGTGTAAAGTTGCTACGTAGCAATCTACCACATGTTTTGTTGCTCTTCCAACAACAAAATGCGTGCTAGAAGTAATTTTTAAACAAAAAACAAAAACCGACTTCAATTCTCATATAAAAATTTAAGATTATCGTTAATTTGTCAATTTCCAATCTATTTGAATACGATTTGCACCAAATTTTGGGCAAATGCCCAATCGTGTGACACTGCCTTTAAAATAGTTGTTGTTCTGAATAGTTGAAGTTAAGCGTAGATATACATACATATAATGTGTATATACATATGTACATACATACGTGTAAAGAAAACACGGCTAATATAACATTTTTTCCTCTCTTTATGATACATATTTATGCTCCACCCACCTTATATAAGAAGGAAAAGCAACCCAGGAATATGCCCAAATTTAGTGTGTCCTTATTGAATATAGTCTTACGCACGTCCAACTTGAATTGCATTATTTTCTTGAAATTCATGATCAGCCTCAACGCCAACTGCAAACCAATACCGCCAACAAAGGGTCTGAGACCACCCATTAGCGCATAATGCCAACAATTATCACGATGCGGGCAAGAGGGATGCCTACTCTTCACCGCATCCAAGAAACGACTATAGATCTGGACGAGTACATTTATACTCCGAAAGTCAAGTGGTGCGCGGGAGCGTTGAGTATTGGCAGATGAGGACGTTGATGCAGCACTCACGGACGCTTCTGTCGCCGTCGCCGTCGCTGCACCCTCGCCCGCCTTCGCTACTACCGGACCCTCTTCTCTTTTATCCACAAAAAACCGCAAGACATTGAATAGCGAATCCTTGCAGGTGGTTTTATGCAGACCCAATCGATACAAATACAATAGCGCTGATATGCTAACGCCGAATATTAAAGTCTGTCCTTGTGGTATCGAACGCACATAACCGCGCACCTCAGNACGTCCAACTTGAATTGCATTATTTTCTTGAAATTCATGATCAGCCTCAACGCCAACTGCAAACCAATACCGCCAACAAAGGGTCTGAGACCACCCATTAGCGCATAATGCCAACAATTATCACGATGCGGGCAAGAGGGATGCCTACTCTTCACCGCATCCAAGAAACGACTATAGATCTGGACGAGTACATTTATACTCCGAAAGTCAAGTGGTGAGCGAGAGCGTTGAGTATTGGCAGATGAGGACGTTGATGCAGCACTAACGGACGCTTCTGTCGCTGTCGCCGTTGCCGTCGCTGCACCCTCGCACCCCGCCTTCGCTACTACCGGACCCTCTTCTCTTTTATCCACAAAAAACCGCAAGACATTGAATAGCGAATCCTTGCAGGTGGTTTTATGCAGACCCAATCGATACAAATACAATAGCGCTGATATGCTAACGCCGAATATTAAAGTCTGTCCTTGTGGAATCGAACGCACATAACCGCGCACCTCAGCCATATTCCATATAGATTCGGTGGCCAAGTTGGCCATATACAACGCAAGCAATGGTCGACGTGCAGGTCGTTCGATAAGTATCGATGCATAGCTGGATATGAAGCTGGGCACGAAGGCAACTGTGGCGCATACATAGTGGCCAATAAGTCTACGCAGCAGGCAATTGAACAAAATAAATGTGTAACCGTTGGAGACGAGGAAGGCGGTCGATTGTATGATGCCGTGCAGGTTGCGCTTGAGATCGCCGAGCCGTGGTATGCGATGTCGCATCAGGAGTGAGAGCTGCAAGATACAAATATGTATGTAGTACATAGTTTTAAAATGTTAATCATAAACTTTTGCAACCGGCAACACTTACCGCATAAACCATTGTGTAGATACGTAAGCTATATGGTATCGCTGCAAGCAATACGCCTGCCGATGCATTCGCACAACTATCTGTCCATGGGTGAGTGAAGTCTTTGCAAGTGCACGCGACGGGCGTCAGAAAGCGGCTCAGTGCGTTCGTCATATTTGCTGTTTGCTGCAACTGCAGGAGCGCTGCTATGAGGTGTGGTCACTTAACAAATGGAAACTGTAATCAAAAAGAGAACATTTTTGCGGTTCAACGAAACAAAAGGAGAAAAGGGCAAAGTGCATTAAGTACTTAGTTGCTGTTATTGTAAGCGACAGGGTGTTGGCGGCCATTGGTGAGGTCCGCACGAGCTACTGGCACCACTGATTTGCAGTTCACGTACAGTAGGTTGAGTGCAATGCAGCCTAAAGATTAGGGATGGGTAAATTCGATATTCGAAGCTTGCAAATTTTTGAAATCGAACTTTGTGGTGCTAAAATTCGAATAAAACCGATTTTTCCAGAAAAATCGAATTTCGAAAATTTGCAAAAGAGGAACATTTTTCTTTCTAACTAAATTTGGCATCACTGTGTTTGATACCACCTTTGCCTTAGGGATGCAAGTGAAAAAAATACATCGGTGTTTTTTTCGATCTGATGCATCGAAACATTGCATCGATTTATCTTATATAAAAATAT